CTGGCCCCAGAGAACAGCTGGCACCTGGACACGCACACACATGCACCTGCCCATGGCTGTGGGGTTGGGGCTGTCCTCACCAGCAGCCCTCTGAAAAGCCTCCACTGCACAGGTGGTGCCCTCAGGGCAGGAGCGGTCCTGGCGAGCCCCGATCTGGGTGTGAAGGGCTCCGATGTTGAAGAGCACACTGCCCTTTTCAAACGCCAGGGCCCGCTGCTGGGCGGGGACCCCTGTGAGCGAGTCATACCTACAGGGTTGGGTCAGGCTGGGTGGAGTTCCAATGCAACAACCCAGAAGATTCAGAAATGGGGTGCAGGCAGGGGAGGTCTTAGGCACCCCGCTCAGCCCTACCAGTGGAAAAGCAGTCCCAGGCTCCGGGCAGGGGTGACAAAGCGTGCATCCAGGAGGCAGAGCTGGTTGTAGTAGACCATGAGCAGCTCCAGGCCTGACTCACTCCGGCTGGGGGTCCGCACAGCCTGCAGGGCAGGAGTTGGCTGGGCCACACCATCTGGGCCCATCCCAGCCCATCCCACCACATGCACACCACCCTGGGAACCTCCTTGGACATCATAGTCCCACGAGAGCAGCCAGGGTCTAGAGTGGACAGGGTCACACCAGGGCACATCTGTTCTTCCTGGGCGGTCGTGGGCCATGCATATGCCCCAGGAGACTGGAGGGCACAGGGAGGGGACAGGCATGGAGCAGCCATTCCCAAAAGGCTACAGTGCCTGGCATACACAGAGCCATCTGCATGCCAGGGTGTGTTGACACACATTCAAACCCACAGTGTGCCTGTGTGCCCACTGTCCCTGGAGCTGCCCCAAGGTAGAGTCCTGTGGTGTAAACGTCTACAAATAAACCCCACTTTGTTGTTCCCAATAGTTCACCTGTACACTGGGTGTGGCAGGTGTCCCTGTGGGGTGGGGTGGGGCAGGGTGGGGCCCACCAACCTGCCGAAGGTCTGCCAGCTCCCTGATTTCCGCCTCATAGGAGGTGCCATCCTCTCCAAAGTGCCCAGAGATCAGCTCCTGATGGGGGTATGGGGGTGGCACTGGCCTTCCCTGGAGTCTCCCAGCCCAACATGGGGAAGACCCAGAGTGAGGGGAGGCCCTAGCTCCTGGAGAAGGGCTGACGTGGGTCCTCCCCTTTGGCCACGGGAACCCCCATCACCACAGGTGTGGGACCAGACTCGGTGCTGTTTCTACTGGAATTCCTTCATTAATCCCTGTGTGGCAGGTACTATATGCCACAGGTGAGGACACTGAGGCACCTTTGCACAGGGCCTGCTGGGCAATGGCAAGCTGGCTCAGGACAGCCTGGCTCCTGAGCCCCAATGAGGAGCCAGTGGGTTTTCACAACACAGGCTCTGACTGTGGGGTGCGGCCCCCAGCCAGTGGGACCCTCAGAGCAAGAGTTGGGAACTTGTGGCTATCTTAGGGCTTCTAGCAGGATGACAAGCTCTGCTACACCCATCCTAGGTGGGCTCTTCTCCAAAGCCCACCCAGTCAGAATCCCCTACATTCTAGGGAAGCTGGCCGTCCCCAGGTCAGACCTTTCTCCCTCTGGGCCTCAGTTTCCTCATCTGTTCAATGAGATGGCTGGACCAGGAAGCCTCCAAGATCCCCCCAGACCCCAGGATTCACAGGCCAACACTCACCTTCAGGGCTGTGGACCAGTCCACCTCCTTGGTCTCCTTCAGCCCCAGGGGGATCATGGGGACAGTGATACCTTCACTAGAACCAAAAGCATTGAGTCCAGACTCTAAGAGTGGACCCTATTGTCCCCAGAGACCATGGAGTCCACCCCTTATCACTCCTGCTACACACGACACACCTCTCCCTGACTCTGAGATACATCCTTGCATCCCCACACATGCCACACAGGTGCTGTCCTGCATCATGCACCTTCCACACATGCACACGCACAAACACATGTACACATGCACACACACACACACATGCACCTCCAGGGCCTGTCCGTGTCCACGTCACAGTTGAGCTCCTCCAGTTCCTCCTTCAGCAGCTGCAGGCTGGAGTTGACATAGCTCAGCTCCAGGGCCACGGTCTCTCTGACTTGGGTGTTGCTGGTGGCTCTAGGGAGGCCAGGCTGAAGTGAAGAGCCAGCCCTGTAGGTGGGCCACACACCCCTGGGCCATACTGCAACCTCACCCACCCTGAGCTCCAGCACCCACTTCCAGGGGGCAGCAGTAGGGTCCAGGGCCTGCGAGGTGCCCTCCCCCTTCCCCTGAGTCCCCTGTGGTTCATGCAAATTCCTGTCCATGTGTGAATATCCTGACTCTGGCCCAGGGCTTCCAGGAAACAGCCTCCTTCCCCTCCCCCTGCCCCTCTCCCCCGGACACAGGCTATGACCTCTGCAGATATTCCAAACTCACTTCCCAGGAAGGGATGGGTTAGACCCTCTGTGCCTGCATTTGGGTGCCCAGCAGAGGGTCCGTGGGTCCCTAGGAAGGCCACGCTTGGGGCAGGATTGGGTGAACAGAGGCCAGGCTGCCAAGTTAAAGGAGGGGCCCTTTGGACCCAGCAGAGCCCCATCCTGGAGCCTTTGGCTATCTCTGCAATCACTGGCCGTGGCTCAGGCCATCACTCATAGAGCGGGCTCATGGAGGTGTGAGGTCCGAGCACACATGCAGCTCACATGCCCTAATGGAGAGGAGCCTTTCCCGGTTCCCCAACCTTAGGACACCGGTCATTTGCCAGAGCTCAGTCTAAACAGTGCCTCTCCTGAGAAGCCCCCACTGGTCACCACAGGCATATCAGACATTGCACATAGGCATGAACATCTCCTCCAGCTCTGCTCCAGCCCAGCATGGAACTTGGCTAGCCTTGAGCTGACCCTTGCCAGTGAGGTCCGTCAAGGTGGGGGCCTGGGCTGTCTGTGAGGGTCTTGGCTGAGCAGCATGGCTGTACCAGATCCTGGTGGGAGGCCCAGCCCCAATTCCTAGGAGTCTGCATTGGCCACGATGACCTGCTCCTGAGTCCCTCTCCCAGGCCGGACGGGAAGAGCAGGCACTGCCTGGGTCACCACCATGCCCTCACTGCCCAGTGGGTCCTGGCTCGCAGGGCACCTCTGGGGATGGAGGCACTGCTCTCTGGAGGGCCTCAGGTGGCCAGTGCTCACCTGTAGAGGTTCTCAGCACCTGTCCGCATCCGCAGCTCCTTGTTGATCTGCTGGTGGATGTGGGCCCTGCGGCTCTGCAGGTGGCTGCGCTGGGTCTGCACCAGAGTATCAGAGCCCTGCAGAGAGGCACAGGTCACAGGCCAGCTGCCCCTCACAACTGCACAGCGCCCCTGCGGCGGGGCGAGGGGTCTCTTGCCTGTGGGGAAGGGGGTGAGCTGGCCCACCTGGCTGGGGTAGGTGAGCATGGAGCCTGGGCTCAGAGGGTGATGCCAGGAAGAAGGGCAGTGGGCAGGTGACACAGTGGGTATGGGACAGAGTTGGCACTGGGCACCAGGAAGAAGCTGGGCTGACTGGGGCCCAGCAGCAGCACGATGGGGCTCTGGGTCTCAGCCCAGCCTTGACACTCAGTCAGTCCTGGGTAGAAGGTGGCCAACTGCTCACCATGCATCCTTCTGCACTTTGGAATTTTGTTCCCAAGCCCCAACAACACCCCCCCC